GTGGAACACAAAATGAGCAACTTGGCTGAAGTATTCTCCCCTAAAAAGACCCATCGCAAAAGCCAGAAACTTTGATACACTACTATAAGCTTCAAGAGAAGCAGAAATTCACAGGAAGCCTTAAAATAATTGGTGTTGACATGAATGCAGTGTGGCCAGCGAAGCATAAGCGATGGCGTGGTAATGGCTGCAAAGCATTGATGCAGAGAGGGATGGCTTCCTATTTACCACAGTTGTTACCAAACAGCTGAATGCTTTTTTGGGAATCTTCCTACATTCCTGGGTTCAATAATATTTCTTTCAGCTTTCTATCTGTTAATTTTGTGTTTGAGAAGAACAAAATCTATTACAAATTGCTTCGATTTAAGCAATCCAAACCCTTCAGCAAGGATAGTGACTTGCTTCAGGTTTTAATTTCAATTTGTGGCTCTAGGTAAATAATTTTTATTAGAAAACATCCATGTGAAAGTATTAAGCACTGGGAGGTTTTTCTGGTGTACTTCAAAGTTGATTTTTTTTTTTTTTTTGATTTAGCAGCCTTTTTCTTCCCTTTCTTGTATAGAGATACATTTTAGTTGCATACCCAAACAAAGCTATTCTGTCTTACTAAATGAGTGAATAATGCTCTGGAAGGACATTTGATTTCTGCAACAGCACAATCCACATCTGTTGGTGTCATTGTTATGGTTTCACACTGTTCCTCATGATTCATGGCAAAAGGCTGTTTGTTTTGATTCTTAATCAACGGCAAATGCTAATTGCGGAGATGTTCAGGTTGTATTATCAACTGCTTCTATCTGTGTAAGAGCTGAAGAATACAGAAGTTTCTGAATCCCTCTCTTATTCAAAACCTGTAAGATGCTTTCATAAACAGCAGCTGGCAATAGGATATTTTTCAGGCTTGTCATATAAAAAAAGAAAGTAATACTTTGCATTATGTGTGTGGCTAAACACGAGTGACTTGCAGTAGTTTATGGTCTGTGGTGCAAAGCACAGTGCCAGGTTTATTCAGCTGTGTATCCTCTAGCTATGCAATACTAATTTTCTATGCCTGGTATGTCTTTTAACAGAATGATGGATGTCCGTTTGCTGTGTGGGATGTGTCAGTGTTTGCTAAACATGGTCTGTGCCTCTTCATTAACTTTAGATAAACTAGTGGAGGTATTTCACCCTGCGGGAAATATCAGCGGTCACCCAGGATGCTGGAATGAGTTATATATTGTTATGCGGGGGGTTTCTGCATGTTTTGTGTTTCAAGAATTTCTGAAATGATGAAACTTGTTCTTTCAGTGCACAAACAGTTTCAATGTCCTAGTCTGTTTAGTGTCCCAAGACTTTGTCTATAGGTTTGGTTTTGGGTTTTTTGGTTTTGGTTTTTATTATTATTATTATTATTATTATTATTTTTATTATATCTTGTGGCTTGTAGGTTTGACTATTTCCTAATGCTGCTGGACAGCTGGAACACTTTGGCCGATAAATGAAAATAAGTTTCCCAAAACTGGTGGTAATACATTGGGGTTTTTTGTGGTTATATGTCTTTCCAAATGTATAGATAAGAGCCTGACATAAAGGCAGAAGATGCTTCAATTCACACTTCTGCAGTGAGCTAAAAGCTTGAAATGCCTATTACTGCTGTCCCTGGCCTTTCAGCTTGGTGCTTATCTGGGAACTTTCACGTTGGCATGGCACTGAACCAGTCTCTGACTTGAGTTGGAATGATCAGAGGAATTTAGCTCCCTCTCTTTGTTGCCAGACTAGAAGGAGCTGTGTCGAGCGTTGGGGGGTTTTTTTGGTTTTGTTTTTTTTTCCCTAATGTACTCCTACTTGACAGTAGGATGCATTTATCGGTTTGTAAAAGTGGAAGCAGCAAAACTCTGTGGTGATGTGACTCGAGTGAACTGTCCTGCAGGCAGGAGAAATGAAGTGGCATCTTTGCAATCCGTTTCCTAACAACGTGTGACTTAGCATCACAGTGCCTCTACTTTCCTGATCTTCTTACTTACCTGGTCTTCATATCACAGCAAGATGACACACAAAGCTTGCTTTCTGTCATCTCTCTGGTCCTTGCTAGCTTCTTCCTTATCAGGATCTCGGTAACAGGCAATTCTTCTTGACTTCTGATTCTTGAGAAATGCCCTGGCTCTTGGAACTGCAAATACTCTTTTCTGCAGGGCTATGGCAAGGTGACTTACCACTCCGCTGTTGTTCTTGGCTTTCAAATTGGGGAGGTTGCTACTGCTGCTAGAAATGACATAAGCCATGTAACAAGTCAAATCAATTAATAGATAAAAATATTCTTAATTAATAGTACTGCAGTGCAGTTATCCTTCAAAATGTGTTGGTTTTAAATCTTTCTACCTTATAAAGTTCAAAGCTTGTTTAATATCAGCAAATGCAATACAGAAGTAAAAACAATTTGCTAATATTGCTATGAAAGTGTTTGACTACTAGCTATTTAGTCTATGAATGTGCATTTTGGCATGCGAGAAGCCAGGAAATTGGAGAATTGAAATTATTTGTAGTAGAGATAAAGAACTTGTTTCACTGTATGCTCAGTATCTATGTTACAATAGGTATCCTGTGAAAAGGAATTGATGCTATTGTATATAGCTTCAAAAGCATTCAGAGTCCCCCAATGTCTGTTCTGGAGGAGAAACTGGTGATAGTTGTGTACAAATGCGTGGCCTTGAGACTAAAACTGGAGATGGCCACATTAGGTAATGGTGCGCTGATCTCTGGGCAAGAACTTATCCTGATTAATAACTAGGAGAACATTTCCTGGGGTAGCACATCCATACCTTGTTTCAAAGAGTAGTGTCTTGTGACTATAACTTAGTGAATTCAAGGTTCTGGTTGTTTTCATAAAATGGCCTCAAATTTTGTTTGCCTTAGCATCTTACAAGCAACAAAGGCCATTTGCAAGGTTTAGTGCGGTACACATTTTAAAAGCAGCACAAATGAAGCTTCTCTTCTTTGCCTGTGGCTACAGGGGGAGCTGACTCAGCTGACAAGCGTTACCTTGCAATAACTTCTGTTTGGTAATTGAACATCTGTTCTTTATTCCAGGCCAAGTCTTACATACTCCTTTCCTTGTGGAAAAGGAGATGGGCAAGGCTTCCTTTTCTGTGTCTGCTTATTTACGCCAGAGGGTTTTAAACCTATTTTTTGTTTACAAAAACGGAGGTTACCGATTATCAGTGACTGCTTTAAGGACCTCTTCGTGACATCTGGTAGCAGCACTTAGCAATACTCTGCTGGAGCAGCAACAGGAAGTCCAGTTTGTTAACTTGGTGACAAAACATGTTTTCAGGCCGAGAGAGCAAATCTCCTGCGTGGTGGGTGTCTCCCCAGAGTTGTGCTTGCAGCTGAGACAGATTTTCGCTTGTTGTTTATGTGCCGTGCTATGCTGCACTTTTTCTCTTAGAGTGTGATGTAAGTAATTGATGCAGTCTCTTTATTAAATTTTCAAACTTCTCTTTCCCCCTTAATATAGATTAACTTTTTTGTTCTGGATGTTGATGCCACCCATAATAATGAATCTTAAATTAAAGGATCATCTTGCGCACTGTCATCCCTGTTCCTCTGATAAAGATGTGCTGGTATCTTAAGCAGCAATTAGGGCACCCTTCTGCGTGCATTTGTTTTTCCGTGTCAGTGTGTTTTTTCTCACCCCCCTTGTTTTGCATATGCTCTGAAAAGAAGGCATGTGTCTCTTTCAAGGTACAAGTCTCATCACATTTCAGTACATTTTTCAGAGCTTTTGAAACTGCATTTGGAGTACTGTCTGAACAAATGTTCAATTCAAGAAGTTAACTATGACACAGCAAAGAAAACATGAGAAAAACGCATTTACTAGTGAAACTGTGTTGCTTGGCTGCACAGTGTGAATACTGAATGCACACAATTTAAATAACATTTAATAAAAGTCTCTCTTTCTTTTCATGTTTATAATAATGCAATTTATTGATGCGGTACTGAAGCACAGTGTTCAAAGCCATTGACCCTAGCATGGTGGTGGATATTTTCAGGGGTCAACTGCAGCTACACAACTGCTTCTGATTTAAGTTTTACCTAATCTAATTGAAACTCACACACCCATTTTGCCCAAGAATACAGTAATGCTAGGCTTGAGCTTATTTTTACATAGTTCAATTGCTTCCTGGGGCATGTCAGGTTAGCAGTAAAAAGGTAATGTTATATAGCACTGAAGGGTGTTTGCAAAGACTACAAAATGTACGAAAATAGATATGAGCTGAGTTAGATGGGTGCATGTGTATATATGTGTAAGTATATATACATACTTACAGTACATATGTCCCTTAAACACTGCAGTACTTCTTCAGCTTATCTAGAAGAGAGATTGTAGCTCAACCACAAGGCCTGGGTGTGTTACGGGAAGGAATAAACGGAGCCTGCCCGCGTTCTGCTGGACGCTAACTGCACAGGTCTTGTGGGCAGAGAGGGCTGTTGTCACTGGGAATGGGAAAGGCTGGAAAACAAAAGGCAAACTGCTCCTTGCACCATCTCCTGCTTTTATACGAGGGGGACGTGTATCTGATATAAGAGCTGTCTGTGAGGAGTCAGAGATGATAAAGAAGGAAGAAATAATAGAGGCAGTAAAGCTAGGCAATAGAGGAAGAGAACAGCATTTAGTCTGCAGCTAAATACGTATGTATGAGAGAAAAGGCAAAAAACTAGTTCTACCTTCTTTTGTTGAAAAGAGATAAAGCGCTTTAAGCATATGTATTGTCATGATAATGAATAAAACAGATAATTTATCAACTTGAAAGGAGCCCTGAGACATCCGCTGTGAATGGATCAAGCTTAAGTAGTATGAAAGGTCTTTGTAACTTTATATGAACAAGTTGTTCATATGTACTTCATAGAGTGCTAATGACAAATACCTTTTTTAAAGGTCAACTTTGAAATTTGTTAACTGTGTGTACAGTGTACAGCTGCAGGCTGCTCTAAGATTTGCCTGACTGTCTTCCCCACAGGTATAGATTATAAAACTACAACAATTCTTCTGGATGGCCGACGAATCAAGCTACAGCTCTGGTAAGTGTGTGCTTCACCTTTCCTCGTAATTTGTATTTCAAAGACACAGAAATGCAACTCTTCAGGGCACAAGTTCTCCCTTATACTTCAGAAATATTTAGTCAACTGAGGAGGAATGACCCAGGCAGCTAGCCCTTTGAGTAAGCCACGCTTTCTCTTTGCCTCTGTTTTACATCTATTTCAAGTAAAATGAGGGACCCTACAGCTTCTCTACATGAGAGATGCATAATAAATGCAGAAGAAAGGCATGAAAGATTACAAGTGCCTTCAAGATAGATTCAAAGTGCCTTCAAAGATTATAAAATACACTGGTAATGAGAACCATGACGATACCGTAGAAAGCATACAGTGATTGTATAGCAACATCCCTTTGCTCAATTTATTAGTAGTAATGGTCAACTAAATAAATCACAGTATTAAAAAAAAAAAAAGGGGGCATTACTGCTCATATAATTTAATTGATATGCATTCTGATGTGATTTTGATTTTTATAAAAACATGTTGCAAACAAAGAAAATTATTTTCCAACACATACTTTTTCCTGTGGGGTCAAGTATTTGGTCTGTCAGGGCGCTTTTGTGTTAAGGTTGTTTGAAGATGGCCATGTCCTGGTTCCTTTAGAAATACTGAGCAAGTGATACAACTTGAAAAATGCAGCAACATTACTGCTTCTTAAATACATTGTTTTC